ACCTATCAATTTGGACAATAAATGTACACAGTACAGTGTGACAACTGTACTGTCTCCAAATTAAGTACCTATCAAACTACTAGCGCTACATGCTGTAGAGACTGCAATATTGTGGTATCATGTATGACTTCTTCTACTCGGCATATGTAAGCTCAATTTTCTTTATTCTTCTTCTTTTCTCCGGTTTCGAAGCTTGAAAGAGAAAAGAAGATCTTGAAATTAATGGTCATGAATAAGTCATATTTTTTTTGTGATTATAAATTATCTCATCGAGAATGAAATAAAAAATTTAGTGTATATATATACACACGGACCCACTAAAATATTTAAGATATACTAAAGATACATTAGGATTTAGGGGTACACTGAAAAAAATATAGGATACACTTTATATAAAAAATTTATACAATGTAATAGTATATATACAATTCCATCTCTTTTATTTTGCTCACAAAAAATAACCCAATGGCCGAAAAAATTCTCGTAGTTAAAATTGTATAATAAGTGTGTATATATATATATATATATATATATATATATATACTGTATAAAAACTCAAAGAGTATATGGATACATAGATATTACATAAAAGATACACTAAATATACATTTATTGTACATGATATACACTAATTATACATCTCATATTCAAGAAGAAGAAGAAGACAACAACAACAACTATCTCCACAAATACACTTCACCTTTTACTTCTTCTTAGGAAATGCACATAAATTCATCCAAAAGAATCATGAAGCCCAACCTCCAAACGGCTCATAAAACACCAACAACCCACTAGCGATATTATATATTGTATAAATAATGTATATAAATTGTATAATAGTATATATACACCTATTATACAACATATATGTAGATTATATAAACATTTGTAAGGTCGCTGCAAAAAAGTCAGAGTCGAAAAGGAAAGCAAAAGGGAAGGTCACCGGAGTCTTTATCCGATCGCACACAGCCATGGCCGATAGATATCACTAGCCAAGTATTTGCTATAATTCCTTACAGATCTAGGATTGCATGACTTTTATAGAAAAGGAAGGAAGCAACATGGAAGATAATAAAATTTTCATTAGTTAGAGGTAGTGGTGGAGATGTTTTAGGTAAAGAAAAATTATTTCTATAAATTTCCTATTCGCAATGGATGGTTGTTGGTCTCGATTTGATTTTGGGATTGAGATTTGAGAGTGTTTTGAGAGAGATGAAGATTTACTTATGAAAATATAGTGAATCGATGATAGTGAGTACTGAGTACGAGTGACAATTTGAGCCCAAAGCCATCTAACCCGCCCAACTCACCCAAAGATTAATGGGTTAGATTACAAACATTTTAGCTCATGGGACAATTTGGATTGAGCCAAGTTAACCCATTATATTTTATAGCTCATTCTGTCTCATTAATCAANACATTTTAAGGTAAAAGGCTTTTTTTATGCAAGATGAGCATGGTTCTAAAACATGGGTCAAGTTAGGCGGGTTGGGTTATGACCCATTGTTTAGCCCATCTTGACCTAGCCCATCTTATCCCAAGTAAGGGTTGGGTTGGGCAATGACCCATTTATTAACCTAATCCATCTTGACCCGCCCAAATTCAGCCCAACCCGCCCATTTGGCATCACTAATAGTGAGATCAATTGTGGAGATAAGCTGGATTGGTGGTGTGAGGAAGGCAGTGGAGATAAGCTGCATTGATTGTGATTATATGGATGATGGAAGTGGGTGGAGAATAACAAACAACTGGAGGAGTAGGAAATAAGAATGAATTGCGAATAGAAGTGCATTGGGAATTGTGACTTGCAAAAGAATTGGGCCTAATGGTCATTTCGGGTCAAAGATGAAAACATGGGCTATTAAAATATTTGAACGGCCATACAACGTCATTTACTCTTTGTTATTTATGATATTTCAAATTTAAGCCCATATGAAGTAGATTTGAGTGTTGAACCGTATGTTTGATTGTTAAAATTCGAAGAACAAGTTTATCTTTCAAAACTTCAGATTTTGAATTTGAAGTTGTATTGAAAAATTGAAATACTTGAGATTCGAAATTACAATTGAAAGATAGAATAACTTTATATTCGAAATGTGAAGTTGCTTTGAAGAGTTTGAACTCTTTACAATTTGAATTAAAGTTGCAGTTTTGTACCGTGTACGGAAGATATTGAATTACTTTATAAAGTTTTATAAAGTTTTGTGTGATGGGGGTATAAATTGGACGGTGACCCAAAAAATAGCTATATATGCAAAAGGGATTTTTTCATTCCTATACACTATTTGAAACTTTATTACTCTTAATATTCATGTTTAGCTAATTACCTGGCATAAACAAATTTTGTTTACCAAATATATACAATCCACCTTAAAAGGTTCTGAATCCATTATTTGTGGCTTCAATCAAGGAATTTAGTTACACCCTTTCCTTCTTTCTCTCCTCTCTCCCTTCCTCTCTCCCCTCTTCTCCACATTGCCCCATGAGGCTTGCTGCTCACTCGGTATTTTTTTCGAAAAATCTGCAAAAAGTCCTACGATAAACTGGGAGAGGCAAAGAGAAATTTGTAGTCGTGGATATTAATTCCATATTTGGAGTATGATTGGTGTTTCTGTTTCCATTCTTGTACTACCAAGTATAAACTGTCATCTCTTTGCAAATCTTCTTAATATTCCTACATATTAGTTTGTGTCACAATATAAAATTCATAGTAAAAGGGAGATCTATGGTACTGTATTAAGTTAGGGGGAAAATATTAGTATGGTACTTGTTCGGTTGCTATCAATTTTTCCTACAGTACAATAGGAATGAAAAAAAAATCTTTCCTATATCAATCACTAACTGGAATGGATGGCAATCAAGAGGTCACAATTTTAACTGCAACGTGCAAGTTTGAATATCAGTGGCCATCATTGCTTCCAATTTGAGCCTTCCCTACTCCTTGTAATCTATTAGCAGAAGGATATTTTTCTTCCTTTATTATTAAAATTTCCCTTTAGATGTTTAGCTCTCTAATCTCTATGATCAGGATTCAGGATCAAAGAATGTATGGTTTAACTGATTATTGATAAATCAATCTGCATACTATGGCATAATAACATCACTCTATATTATGATGGACATCAACCTACAACTATAGTCCTTCTTCTTTTTCCATTATACAACTTATCTTCAATTTATCTACAACTTTCATACATTATTTATATCAAGTTATATATAACTACAATATCATACCACTTAAAAATATTTTTTATACAAATTTTATACAATATGTCTTTTGTATATTTTATATCTGATTTATATATATAGTAAAAATAAATTTTATACAACTAATTATATATTATACAACTTATCTACAACTTATCCATAACTTTCACACATTATTTCTACCTAGTTATATACAATTACAATATCACACAATTTTTATACAATACTGTTCAACTTTCATACAATATTTAAATAAATAAAAACTATATAAATAACAGAAGATAACTTTTCTACAATTTTACTACAACTTTACTACAATTTATGCAGCATAATGTATGTCATGTCTTCTTTTCTTCGAGTTTCAATCTGAAATTCAGCCAAAATCAAGTCTTATCTTCACCAAAACACCTTCAAAATTACGATATAAACTCCAAACTATATTTTCAATTGTTTGCAACAACACACAATCCACACAAATAATGGTTTTTGAAAACCCAAATTCGAATTCAAAGCTTCAAAGCTTTTTAATGCCTGTCAATGGTGGAATTGTTGCTCTCTTTACACTACTGAAATTAGGAATTGAGAGATAGAGAGACGTAGAGAGAATTCTCAATTATTTGCAACAACATCCAATTCAAACAAATAATATTTCTTGAAAACCCAAATTCGAATTCAAAGTTTCAAAGCTTTTTAATGGCTATCAATTGTGAAATTGTTGTTCTCTTGTGCAAGATATGTGCGCGAGGGAGTCGGATGTGGAGAGAGAAACTTGGGGAGTGGAAGATAGTTTTATAGGAATGTAAAAATCTCTAAGCAATCTTAATCTGGACCAAGTGAGGTGCATAAAAGATGATGACGGCAAAGTTTTGATGGGAGATGACCAGATTAAGAGGAGGTGGCAGACCTACTTTCATAAACTTTTAAGTGAAGAAGGGGATCAAGATATTATACTTGGGGAATTGAGGAATGCCGACAGTCACCATGAATTAAGTAATTGTAGGGACATTGATATCGATGAAGTCATGAAGGCAATGCGTAAGATGAGAAGGGGCAGAGCTACCGGGCCAGACGAAATTCCGGTTGAACTGTGGAGGTGTGTGGGTAGAGCAGGCTTGGAATGGCTTACTGGATTGTTTAGTGTTATATTCAAGTCTAATAGGATGCCTGAAGAATGGAGATGGAGTACAATGGTTCCGTTGTATAAGAACAAGGGTGATGTCCAGAGTTGTAACAACTATAGGGGCATCAAATTACTAAGTCATACCATGAAAGTTTGGGAGAGAGTGGAAGAAATGAGAGTGCGAAGGACGTNCGAGCATTAAGGTTGTAGGTTAGAGGAAAGTTGTGAATATTTCTACAGCACAATAGAGTGAGACTAACCAGTTAGGAGATAGACTAAGAAGGCCATTGGTCGTCTATTGATGCAGGGCTTACCTGCTAGTTTTTACTATACCAGCCATCTATTGCGCATTTCATATTCTGTATTTCATATCTCTTATAAATGTGTTATTTTATTATGTATTTTTATGGTACTAATATATCGTCTTCTGTTGCTTTTTTTGAGCCGAGGGTCTCCTGGAAACAGCCTCTCTACTCTTCGGGGTAGGGGTAAGGTTTGCGTACATATTACCCTTCACAGACCTCACTTGTGAGATTATACTGGGTCGTTGTTGTTGCTGTTGTTGTGTAAAAATCTCTAAGCAAAATGCTATTGTCGCTAATTTCTATCATGAGATTGGCCGAAAATTCCCAATAAATCAAATTTCACCAAATTCAACCCCAAATAAATTTACCAATCTTCCTTCTGGTCAAATCCTTTCCTGCCACCAGCGAATACACCTTTTCCCCTTTCAATTTTTCGACCAAACTTCCTTATTTAATATCTTTTTCCCTTTCATTTTCTATTTTATTTATTTTCTTTCATTAATTCGTCTATCCATATGTACCAAATTTATACTAGCATAATAATCTCCTCCTAATCACAAATCGGAATGTTTCCTTCCCTTTTTCCAATCTCAAAAACAGATTTTGAAGAGAAATTGCGAAGATCGGGGTAGAATTTTCTTTGAAGAATCCGTCCAAGTTCAAGATGTCACAAAGTAGGTAAAAATTATGAAATTTCTCTGTTATTATTTTTAATATATTTCACACTGATTCGTACTCTCCCGCGTATTAAATTTGATTTCCCAAAATCTCGATCTTGTACTCTTCTTCTCAAAACTTTCTCTTTCTAACATGAAGTCTTGCTCTGATTTTACTTGCTCTTTATTATTTACTGAATCAGATTTTTTTGTTTGTTTTGTGTTTGCTATTATACTTATTACTCCCTCCGTTTCAGTTTATGTGAATTTGTTTGACTGGACATGAAGTTTAAGAAAAAATGAATACTTTTGGAATTTGTGATCGTAAACCAGTCAAAAAGGGGTCCAGAGTATCTATGTGGTTATAAAAGATTATCATTAAGGATAGAATTGTAAGTTTAAGCTAAATTGTTACTAAATTTAGAAAGGGATCATTCTTTTTGGAACGGACCAAAAAGGAAATAGGTTTACTTAAAACAGAAGGGAGGGAGTATAAAATTACCTCTACGACCTTAATTTTCGGATGTCTTACCTTGTTAAACGTAGAGCCTCAATAATTCGCTAACTATAAATACCATTGTTATGGTGGCTGTAGGAGAGAGGTTTATTCACTGTTATTATAACACTTTGTTGTGATTGCTACTTTCTGGTCGGCTTTCTCTGTTATTGTTCAGCTAAATTGTCCCAACTAGAAAGCAATTCCGTAGTCTCACTAGGCATTACCCAGCTTAAGCTTTCATACTCATGAATAGTTTCCACAATCTATTGGTCACCTGACAATGGAGAAATAGGTGACTGTTTGTTTCGATGGCCTTTCCACACAGAAAACATTTGGAGCACAGAGGCATTATATTCCTCTCTTCATTAAGCTCTCATGTGTCGGAACAGCCTGTTTGACCAAAACACAATTACTTTAAGGGAACCTTCAACCTCCAATTATGCTTCCATAACTAAGCCCCTTGTTGCTGTGTACTTATGGTTAAAACCTCGTATGCTGCAGATTTCACGGTGAAAACTCCTTTGCAATCAACTTTCTTCTGATGATTACTTGTGGTTTATCTATTTTCTGTTTATGTGAATTTTCTACCCTTTTTTGGGTTAGTAATGCTATCAGTCGTTCAAGATAGATCTTCATTCGGCTATGTTTAATGCTTAAATATGTTGAGTCTACTATATGAATTATCTTTATCAATCCCACTCCATTGAGGTCCATATCATTCCAATACTCATTCAAGATAGACGTTGAAAAAATTAAACTGCCAGCTATATCTCCTGAGTTCAGCATTTTGTAGTAGTATCTGAGCTTATGCTGCTCTTTTCTTTTCTTTTCTTTTCTTCTCTGCTTGTGGTTTCCTTGCCAATAGTAATGATTGATGGTGCAATCAGAATAGTATAAGATATGGGTACGGTGTACTTCTTCTGGTTGTCAGTGACAACGATATTTCAAAAATATAGTGACAAATAATCCAGCATTATCTTGGGGTTGGCTAGAGGTGCTCATCAAGTTGTGGGGCTAGGATGGGATTCTTTTGAGGTTAAAGGGTGATATGTGTAACTTTTAAGTCAATTTGATACTTTTTTTTTCTCTCCATTTGATACTTATGACTTGATATAAAAAAATATCATTAGAGTATAAGGAGGTTATATCATACACTGAGAGAGAAACTTAAAGGCTTTACTCTGGTCCAAAAGCTGAAGATATCAAGATTACATTTTACCAATTAAGAGGAGTTAGTGATGTAAAACGAAATTGGATGGTGTAAAATGTATTAATCTATCAGATTTGAAAAGGCTTGATATTGCAAAATAAAGAGATTTGTAGCTCGGTTTCTTCTTTTTATTTCGTAAATGCAATGTGAATTTTTGTGTCTGCAATGTGTTTACCTAGCTTGAAAATTACTCAATATACAGCGGTGTGGAGTTACTAGAATAAGTGTGTTTGTGATAAATAATGTGAATGGAGATTGGCGAACGTTGATTAAAATATTACGTGGCTCCAGATCCTAAGCTAGATGCATGATTTGTTGTGTTTTCCCTTTTTTCATCTCTAACTTGTGTAAACTATAACAGAGTGATTATGATTTAGGATCCCTGAGTGCTGACTGTCATTTATTTTTGGACTTTGTTAGTTGCTTTGTGCTAGACTGACACACTGTATTAGGGCTAACATTTCTCTTAAGTCCTTTTTTTTTTTTTGAGAAGAAATCTTTTTGCTTGTAATTATGCTTCTTGTAATGCATCTTCTTGATGCCTGTTGGTGAAACACCTTACTTCATCAAAAAAAAAAAAGTTGCTGACTGTCATTTAATAATTGTTCGCAGATGCTGTGGAGTAGAGTTGTATGATACAGATGGAGGCTAACATCAGTGGGAGCTCTTCTCCAACCCATTCAAAATGGAGAAAAGTTGTTTATGGTGGGATGCAACCTGGCTTTGATGACAATCACACAGATGAATCCTTCCTGGAGGAAATGATCATGAATGCTAATGTTGTCAAAAGAGACTTATTGAAGGTGGTGCTCGATGCAGTTTCAATCTCACAATATCTTTGCATTGTTGCCCTTGTGGTTTTAGTTTGGACCTACACCCTCAGAAATACCTTGAATGAAAAATATCTTTTACTCTTGAATGTCAGCCTTCTTGGTTCGGGTTTCTTTATTCTGCTCTTAACTGCGGACATGATACCCTTTAATCTCCTCCTCAATTATCTCCTAAAAAATACCTTCTTCATAACTGCCTTATATATGCTGTCTCCTATCTATCATACACTTACTAGGTCCATAAGCTCGAATTCTATATGGGCGCTAACAGCTTCCCTTCTCATTCTCCATCTCTTCCTGCACAATTACTCAGGGTCCACCGTAAAGGCTCCTGGAGCTTTAGAAAATCCAACCCTGACAAGCAATATATCACTGAACGCGTCCATCGTGGCTTCACTTTTGATTTCATCCCGCCTTCCATCGAGGCTTCATGTCTTTGCTATTGTGCTATTCTCCTTGCAAGTTTTCCTTTTTGCTCCTTTAGTCACATATTGTGTCAAGAAGCGCTCTTTTAAGCTGCATATTTGCTTTTCCCTTCAGTTACTGGTTCTAACACTAATATTCACTTACCAGTTGCATAAGCTGCTTTTCATCTTGCTTTTGGGCATTTTTGTCTTCGTTAATTTGGTTTGTCCCTACTGGTTGATACGGATTCAAGAGTACAAGTTTGAGATTAATGGCCCCTGGGATGAGGCTAAGCTCTGTTTTAACATTACAGAATGAGCAGGTTATATTTTTAGGCATCTCCTTTGTATTCAAATCTCCTGGATACTCTTGGACATGTAACTCATCTGTAAGTTTTCAGTTCATTAAGTTGTCTTTTTTAGATTATTGATTTAACTAGTCATGTAACTATTAGGGGTGTTCGTTGGTTGGGTTGACATGGCGTTGAAATATTTTGATTCGGTATTTTTGACTTTTGATTTTAAAAGTGATATACCAATACTGTATCGAAATAAATTTGGTTGTTTCAACTTTTTACTTTTCGATTTTGGTTTGTGTGGTTCGGTAACTTCGGTATTACTCTTTAAAGTTATATTTTATCAATCCTAACTTGTAATTGTGATTTATGAAATTGATTCTTCATACTCAAGCATAAAGAAAATAAATTAAATCAAAACGTTAATGATGCTTCATTCTAAAACAAGACTCTTCTTCTTTGCTTGTAAAGCAGAAGTAAAGAAAAAGCATCAGGCATAATGTTATTAGAAGCCAAATGTAAAACAAATATGTTTGCAGTCATTCAATAAATTAAATTTAGGGTAATAAATCTCACTTATCATGTTTTATATCAAGTAAAATCACACAATTATTAAATGGCCAAAGTAGATTTTTTGACCAGGATTAAATTTACTCATGACCAAAAAATTTCGGGTTTAAGCTAATAAGTCAGTTGTCACTGCAAAAAGGGGCATTATATTGGAAGTCCTAGACAGGGCTGGTTCAAGCCTAAGGGCACTAAAGTATTTGAACTCTACGGTAAATACTCAATTTGAAATGGATGGAGTATCAAATTATATTCACCTTACCGAAGTTTCATCTATATATATCGGTAGTATAAATAATTTTTATATTATTACTTGATCTTTATATGTTGTTGGCTTGTGGCGTATAACTTGTTTTAATAAAAGGCTACTTATAAATACTTTTTGACTGACTTGATAATATAAAGTTTTTCAGAATGCAACTGTTTATACTATATATATATATATATATATACATACTACGTGAAGGTGGGTGGTATGTTAGCACCCTACCCATTTTGTCTTTTCCTTAAATACCCTAATTTTTAATTTCTATGCTTTACTGGTGAGGGGGGTCTTTTGTAATTTTATAGCAAGACATAATTTGCTTCTCTCAGCTTTCTCTCTCGATTTGCCCACTTCTCTCTTCTCCCTTTCTTTATCTCTCTCGCTGTCTCTTCGCTATTGTGAATTAGGAATTGAGACTTGAATTTGAGCTTGAAATTTCGAATTTGTGATAAATTATTACCTTGGGTTTGTGTCAAAGTAGTTTTGAGCTAGATAATTGAAGGTAAGTACCGTTGAAAACATTGGTGGCTCAAAAATTCTGAGTCCTCCATTGATAAACCTTTAAAGCTTCTGGGTTTTGTGTCAGATCGGAAAAAAAATTACTCAAAAATCGACTGGGTGTTATCTTCAATTGTTGGAAACTGTTTTGCAAACTTGAATTCGAAGTTTGGGCAGTTTTGGCAACTGATTTGAGGTGTACCAAGACTGAAATTGCAGTTGAAACTCAAGCTTCTTAGACCTGAAGAAATCGAATTTCTTGGTAGTATTGGTTCAATTAGCTTTTGTTTTTCTTTTTGCTAAGCTAACTCATAAAATTAATTAAGCTTCCACTTTTTCCTATTAAAACGACAATAGGTGAATCATGATTACAGAGGAAAGAGAGACGGGGAGAGAGGAACATGGAGAATGGGTGTTGGATCTAATATTTTTGTGAAAAGACCAAAATGTCTCCCCTATTAAATGTGTTGGAATAAACTATTAAGGGTATTTAAGGAAAAGATAAAATGGGTAGGGTGCCAACATATTACCTTCATGTACTATGTTATATATATATATATTAGTCTTAAAGTACGCGCGTTGCGCGTGTATTTTATGTCAATCAATTATATATTATAACAATTACATAGATATTATTTACAAAAGTATCTGAATTATTTAATATAAAATTTAAAAAAATTCAAATTCCTTAAAAAAAATAATGAACGTTAATCACATTTATCTAACTTAATAAAAGAAGATTAATGCTCTACAAATACCTTATTTTGGACTTTCATTAGGGATAAATTTAAGTTCTCGTGCCATCCTTTCTAGGTAGATTTAATCATTATTATGATAAAGAGATTATATATACTAATAAAGATTGGTACTTCATTTTTCTCAATAGTGATGGGTAATATCAGCTAGTCGCATATCCGTAATTTGATATTTGTTTATAATGACATGTAAGATCTATCTGGTAAATAGATTTATCAACACTATGAGCGACCACGAGACTCTATGACAACACTTGAAAATTATTTATTAACATTTTCTTAGAAAAGAATAGCTTGACATAGCTAATATTTTAACATTACCAACTTTAAACCTTTAAAATTTTAGCAATCTGAAAATAATTGTGAGCTCTTGAATGTGATTTTGTACAATTTGCTTTACGTTTTCTAACCTGTTTGGCCAAGCTTTTTTTGAGGCAAAAACACCTTTTTGGGTCAAAAGTACTTTTTTTCCTAAAATTAAGGTGTTTGGCCAAGCTTTTGAAAGGAAAAAAAAGTGCTTTTAGCGAGAAGCAGAAGCAGTTTTGGAGAAACACGAAAAGTAGTTTCTCTCCAAAAGTACTTTTTTGAAAAACACTTTTGATAAAAATACACTTAGAAGCAGTTTTTTAAAGCTTGACCAAACACTAATTGCTGCTCAGAAGTACTTTTCAATTTAATTAGCCAAACACAAACTGCTTCTCACCAAAAGTACTTTTGAAAAAAACACTTCTCAAAATAAGCTGATTTTTGCAGCTTGGCCAAACGGGCTAGTTCGTCTCTTGGTATCTTGAAGTGGAAGATTTCTAATATCACCTAGATTATTATTATTCTGGGTGAAATAACAATCCGTAAAATTATAAATTCTTATGAAAAATAATTTATCCGACTTATATAAGTAATTTCACTGTAACTACATTCCTAATATTAAGAGTTTTTATATAGTTCAAATAGAAAAGATAAAATAGTCAAAACTTTAGTTAATTTTAATGTTCTAAATATTAAAAAAAATAATTAAATGATAATTTTGTTTCTCTTTTCTTTTAATTTTATCTTCTTCAATTAATCTAGACTATTATAAAAGTATGAAACTTAAATGCAAAATCGACCGACCTTTTAATTATTTAAAAATAATACTATATATTAATAGTTTTTAATTTTAGTCTCACATTATTTATCACGTAATTATAATAAATAATATAATTTGTTGCAAATATTAAGTGAAGTAAATTTGTTCTTCAACAAAAATACTCATTGATGTTAAAAAATTATTTTGTTCATCGTGAATACAATTAGAATACTATTAGGATGTCAATTTCCAATTGCCACGTAAAAGTTATTTCAAACAAACGTCAACAAATTTTATAGTATCGTCCAAATAAAGACTCTTTACACATTTATTTAAGGTACAATTTTAAAGTCCTAAATTTTAGGTACCTAATTTAACTAAGAAAAGATATAACAAAATTTTAATGAATTTTTATGTCCTAAATATTAGAAAAATAATTAAATGACTATTTTATCTAATGTAAACTCTATTTTTTAAAGGGTAAAAAAGGCGAACGACATTTCGCTAAGGGCCTTCGTGCTTTTAATATAGTACTAGTATTAGGGTACGCGCTTTGCGCGTGTACCCTATATCAATGAATATATAATTTTTTTAAAATACGAAAAATATTAAATAATGTGAGTTATTGAATAAAATAAAATAAAAAGTATAAGTTCTTAAATATGATGAACATTGATCATTTTTAGCCCGCTGCTCGATAAATAAATAATAATATAAAATATTAAAAAAATACTATAATATTAGAGTTAATACTTTATAAAAAATAATGTAAATATATGAAGCTGTCATTTATTAGAATGGTTATAAAAAGAAAAACAAAAAAAAAGACTTCGTATGTAGGTTATCATACGAAAATTTTAATCGAATGGTCATATAAAATAAAGGTCACAAAAAATAAGGTAGAAAACCAATGTTTATTGTTATTTTATTATAATCATTCAAATTTTAATTGATAAAGTTATTTTTTTAGACCCTTGAATTATAGTAAAAGAGAAACGATAGCTGAAACCATGGTAATATCACAATGGAAGGATATCACAATGGAAGTTTAGCTTTGCTTTGAATGGCAAATACTCACGTTAGTTTTGATTTAATAAATATATTACACATCATATAATTCTATATATTAAGACTTTTACATAGTTCAAATAAAAAAAATATAATAAGTAAAATTTCAACTAATTTTAACATCCTAAAAGTTAGAAAAATAATTAAATAATTATTTTGAGTGTAAAATTAATTTTCTTGATTTCTTTTTATACTTCTTATATTTGTCGAAGGATATCTAACAATGGAAATATAGCTTTTCTTTGGATGGAAAATTACTCACGTGAGGTTTGATAAGTAATGTGTTATATGTTGCCAAATATTATGACTTTTTACATATATACTTCAAAAAAGAATTAAGGAAAGATATAAAAAATCTTAGGTGATTTTAAAATCCTAAACAAATTAGGAGAAATAATGAAATAACTAATTTGTCTAGTACGAAATCAAATTTTAGAGGGTAAAAAAGGCGAACGACATTTCGCTAAGGGCCTTCGTGCTTTTAATATAGTATAGATATAAATATATAGAATAGATATAGATATAGATAAGATACAAAAAGTGTCACGTTCCAAAACTAGGGGGAGACCTTGCAAATCAATTTTGTACCTCCATACCAATAGAACTTTTAGAAAAATATCATAGACTCCTATTGAACATATACAAAAATAGTATCTAGAGAATAATTATTTAATTATATTAAAACTTTTGAAGGATAATAAGTATCTATCTATATTATTATAAAAGTGGGAAGAGCTAAACTAAAAAGTTAAAAATTTCAAATCGTTAATATGTGGCCAAGGTCAAAGAGAGGAAGGCTCGGGATCTGGACTAAGTGAGGTGCATCAAAGACGATGATGGTAGAGTTTTGATGGGGGAGAACCAGATTAAACGAAGATGGCAGACCTACTTTCATAAACTTCTGAATGAAGAAGGGGATCAGGATATTGTGCTAGGTGAATTGGGACATTTCGAGTGTCAACGTGACTTTAGGTATTGTAGGCGCATTAAGGTTGAGGAGGTCGTGAAGGCT